GAGGAAGACATATCAAACCCATCTCAACCTGGCTGTGATACATGACGTCAGACAGACAGACAGACACAAGACATATCTATCCTATCTCCGTCTGTGGCTACATGAAGACGCCAGACAGACAGACAGACAGACAGACAGACAGACAGACACAAGACATATCTATCCTATCTCCGTCTGTGATACATGAAGACGCCAGACAGACAGACAGACAGACACAAGACATATCTATCCTATCTCAACCTGTCTGTGATGCGTGACGTCATGACCCAGAGACCGTCGCTGGAAGTTGACTCGTAAATATTTCAAGTGAGACCGACTGAGTGTGCAGTAGTTCCCTTCACGTATATATATAACAAAAAATATTATACATTACAAAAAATAAACAAACAAAACCACCTACAGACTATCACATCTAGATCTCGTAAATATTAGGTTGGCTAGGTTAGGTTTGGTTAGGTTAGGTTTGGTTAGGTTAGGTTTGGTTTGGTTTGGTTTGGTTTGGTTTGGTTAGGTTTGGTTTGGTTAGGTTTGGTTAGGTTAGGTTAGGTTTGGTTTGGTTAGGTTTGGTTAGGTTAGGTTTGGTTTGGTTAGGTTTGGTTAGGTTAGGTTTGGTTTGGTTTGGTTAGGTTAGGTTTGGTTAGGTTAGGTTTACTCCGTCTTGGTTTCTACAAGTAACATTCCCCAAGGTACTGGTTTTTACTACTACTGTTAGCATTCTTAAATAACTATTCCCAAGGCCGCGGTTTCTACAACTATCACGGTAATAATAAGTAATGTTTCGCTATACATCTTCCTTTCTTACAACACACAACTATATTTTAAGAACTACCCATAGACCAGCAGGTGAGACAGAGAGAGGAGATAAAACCCAGGTGAGGTGAGAAGCTTGTTAACGGTGCACAAGACGGCCACTAATTAGCCCAGCGCCAGGTGTGCAGGATGGGTTCTGACGCCAGCCAACAACAACAACAACAACAACATGCCTCAATAGTGGTCAAGGACGTTAACTCTCGTGTGTGTGTGTGTGTGTGTGTGTGTGTGTGTGTGTGTGGGATGAAGGCTTAAACAAAAGCGCCACAAGCGAGTTTGGTGTGGGCGTGACGTGGGCGTGACCCTGAAAGTTGGCCGCCCGACCCTTGAGCAGGTAACTAAGCTGGGTCAAGTCTGCCCACGCCCACAGCCACGCTCACACACCTGTCGCACCCACAACACACACACACACACACACACACACACACACACACACTAAAACGCCCAATTACCAAACCATTATCCCAACACTGAAATAAAGAACTATTAAATCCACCGGGGGTTACATATATATAGAGTAAATACACTTTATCAGAACCCACGGTGTAAATAATGGCCATCACAACAAAGGGTAGAGTTACGCGGACCGTGAATATAACGCCGTCATTTGTGTTCGTTTGTTGTTTGGTTATGTCTGTTATGTGATACCTAATAGTGGATGTGTTGAAGAGCAGAGCCTGATATAAACATTCACTACGGATATCCACATCAAACATCCACAAATAAATATCCACAAATAAATATCCACAAAGAAATATCCACAAAGAAATATCCACAAAGAAATATCCACAAACAAAGATCCTCCAACAATCATCCACCTGGAACGTCCACCACCAACATCCACCACATCCACACAAAGAACTACATAAGTGGAAGTTCATGGAGTCTAAATACAGGATCTGCAGTAGCCTCTGAGCTCGCGTTTATGGGTAAGACTCCCGGTGAAACCAGTTGAGTCTTATCTAACTTAACCTAACCTAACTTGGTCAATTTTAACCTAGATTAACCCTAACAAAGTCTAAAGATAGGAAGAAAGTTGCTGAACCTGGTGGAATACACACACACACACACACACACACACACACACACACACACACACACACACACACACACACACAAACCCATGACCATATGCAGGTACCTTTTAAACCCATCGGCCGCCGCCCCCCTCCCCCCACACACACCCACACCCACACACACACACACACACACTTGAACAACACAACAGAAGAGCTCCCGAACCCTAAGTAGCTACCGAGGCCCTCACAGTGTAGACGAGTGTGTGTGTGTGTGTGTGTGGTTAAAAGGGAACACCAGCGTCGTGAGGGAGGAAGGATGGAGACAGCTGGGTCATTATGAGGGAGGAGATGGGAACACCACCATATTTGTTTACATCGAGTCTACGCCCTCCCCCCCCCCCCCACTATTACTCCTACCTTCCCTCACCAAGCGCCCCCAAAAAGGTAAGGGTCTTCTTCCTACCGTAGTACAAGAAGTAGGTGTCAGCCCACGCCTCTCTCTCTCTCTCTCTCTCACACACTTCATCATATTTTCAAGGAATTTACGGACGTGTTGTTTCATCCCTCTGTGTGTGTGTGTGTTTAGGCCCGGACGAGTAATTACTATAAGCTAAATATGGAAGGAAAATTAAAATAAAAAAAATAGACGTGAATATGCTCATCTACCGACTCGACTCGCAACCAACAGCTAAGTTCACTAAGACGAATTATAACCATTTGCTAAAGTTAAAGAAGGTTAGGTTAGGTTAGGTACAGTTGCTGTCAAAATCCCTTCGACGCTTAGCAATTACTGACACCTGTTTGTGGGTCATTTATATGATTAGTTTATACCTGAGGGGGAAAACTGCTTATCATTACACATTATACACTAAGTGAGCTGAAATAAACCCTGCCCGCGAACCATTACCGTGGCAGGATAAACCTAGTGACATAGGTGGTGACTGTCTCATGTTGACATTTTCCATCACCCTGTCTGTGACCATAACAACACTTGGTCAAATTTGTATTCAATTTCCAATCAAAGTTTATCATGTTGGTCTTTGACTCACAAGATGAATAAACCTGCCAAGTTATTTTAGGAACAGACACACACACACACACACACACACACACACACACACACACACACACACACACACAGAACCGATATTACTACAAAGGAGAAAAAATTACAGATGTATACTCCCAAGAGTTTTCGGATTAGGAAGAAATTGCCAGATTGGTTCGAGATGTGGAGGACTCAAGTTCCTAAATCTCACTCCTTCGCCTTTAACAACTTTCTTACGTTGGGGAAAAAAAACAAGTCTTCACATCTCCACCAGACACACACACAGAATATCATGAGGAGGAAGAGGAGATGAATCCATTGAATTTCCAGTTGAGATTGACTTCGAGAATCCCATCTGTGTGTGTGTGTGTGTGTGTGTGTGTGTGTGTGTGTGTGTGTGTGTGTGTCTGTGTGTGTGTGTGTGTGTGTGTGTGTGTGTGTGTGTGTGTGTGTGTCTGTGTATGTGTATGTGTGTGTGTGTGTGTGTGTGTGTGTGTGTTGTCTCTGCAGTAAAAATATAAACCAAATCAACCCACGAGCCTTGAAGACCTCCCCTGGTGATGGTCACGTCGAGGTATTCACGCCGTAATTAATGGCAACTTGTGGTTTAGTTACCCAGTATGGTGTTGCCTTAAACCCAGCCGACAGTGATGGCCCGGACGTGTTAAGTTACTCAGCGTCTCTGGCAGGTTTACTTCACCACGAATCCTCAGAGGCTCTTAATCTATTACAATTTCCTACCAAGAGTCTGCCTGGAATATGTTAGCAGGCCCACCATGGCACCGTCTATACATATTGTCTTATAAGAGGTGTATTTCACGCGTTGTTGTGGTGGTGGTTAACAGAATAATGGTATTTACGACATCTAACCTAACCTACTGTGATGGATTCCTAACTAGTAACCTAACCATAACCGCCCAGTTTGTTGTTATAAACCTAAATGAATCACAAATACGCAGCCATAAAGGGTGAAGGTATGTCTATCCTATCCCAATCTTGCCAGATACTTGACGCCAGACTCACGCTGTTGACTCCGTGAATTGACTTCCAAATGTTTCTGCGGTGGAGCGTTTGAGGGGCCAGTTCCCCCGCCAGTAACTCCTGTTCCTTAAAAGTCCCGACCAGACCAAGCGGCTCCGTCGGGTGTGTTGAAGACTCACGCCCACCTACACCAACTACAGGTAAGAAGACCCACTCATCCAGTTGTCATCCGCTTAGTGACGGTCATAGTGGGTAAGTGGTGTGGCTGGTGTGGTTGGTGTGGCTGACCTGGTTACTATCATGAATTCACTAGCCAAGGTCACGGATTACTTAATAGTCATGGCCTCTATACTATAAACCACCTTCTATTTATTTACTTAATATTTACCAGGGTGGTGACGTTCTTCTTAGCGTCCTACAAAAATATAAACAATAAATTAAATATACAAGACTGAAAAGAACAACAGATGGTGGGAAGTAGCCAGCTGGGGTAATGGGGTCAGGAGTACACATCGTCTCGTCTGTGTGTGTGTGTGGTCAAGGCCGTCAACGTCTGACAGTAGATGACCCTATTGGTGGGGGAAAACACTAACCACTTAAGCACTGACTAAACAACCTCAGGCTTTACCCTTAGCTCCACTCTTTCTACACGGTAAAATATAGAACTACTCTTGTCGTCGTTTTGTAATGAGTGTATTAATATTCTATGAGGTAGTGACCTTTAGCTTCACTCGCCGGGGCTATACACCACAAGGACATTATGACAGAAATAGGTCCCCTTGACGACCCTTGAGCCAGAGAGACCTAGAGAATTATACCCACAAGACGGATCCCTTAGTTATTTCAACTTTCCCTTCGAGCGACAAATTTAAAGATTATAACACAGAAAATATTTGGTTTTAAGAGTTATTCATCATCACTTGTTATTAATAATACAGATATAACGGATAGAAACACCAATTATGACACCAGGAATAATAAAATATGTGAGATAAAGCGAATAAGAGGATTTCTTGGACCTACCTTAAAAAATAATATTTACGGTGTAAGTAAATATATCTTGTATAGGTTATTGGCGGCTAAAACAAGTACCAATGGATAAAAACAGATAACAAACAACAACCCATGATAAAATCCCAGCATTAACCACAAGCTCTAGGAGAATGTATACATGAACTCACCTGTTCTAACTCTGGCGTAAATCTGACGGGCCGCAGGTAGTAGCAGATGATTATGACGTGGATCAGGTTGATGAGCACGAAAATAGCGTTCCATAAGAAGGTGTCGAAGGCGCACAGCACGACCCATCCCCAGAGGCTGAAGAACATACAGCCGATGGTAAGGGTGATGCGTAGATACAGGATACCGTAGATGCCGTTGGGCGCCAGGTAGGAGAGGAAGAGGAAGATGTTGGCTAGTTGGAAGTAGATGTGGTTGATGGGAAGCCAATTTTTACACACGTCGAACTCTCCATAGCCAGCACCTCCCATTCGTATTATGTCCCTGATGGTATAAGTACTGAGGAAGGTGGAGGTCGTACTGGTGGTCGTGGCTGTGGTCGTAGTGCCGCTGGTCCCTGCTGTTGACGAGGGCGGAGGTGACGCCGAAGAAGACAAGTTAAAGCCAGCATCTTCATCCGTGAGGTTGTTGGAGAAGAGCAAGATGGAAGCAATGGTAGTGACGATGGGTTCTAGTCCCGTGCCGTTCAGACCCATGGTGGTGGTGGCTGGTCCAGGGAGGATATGTCTGTCAACGTTCGCTAACAATAACTTTTACACACTAATAATTGCACTAGAAGACAAGAGAGGTGGGGGTTGGGGGGGGTTGGTTGGTTTAGAGGCTACGACGATACTAAAAACCTCTGAGAGTTTGTGGCTCTAAGTAGGAATGAAGGTGTTAGTTGGGGCTGTGGTCTGGCTCCCTCAACCACCATGTTCAGTGATGAAGCTCACCGCACTCCCCCAGCGGCTCTCATAAACACCACCTGACGTAGACTGGGCAGCCGAAACCCCGTCTATGGCTATCCATCTTGGCACTAAAAACACTTGACAGCTTATTATGGCACTTAAATAATCACACACACACACAAGAGACTTTCCTTATCTCCACAGTTCACAAAGACGATCAGATAAACTCGGTTATCTCAAACTTTTTTTTTATAAGATTCCTAAATATTTTTACATTAACTTTTCTCCTCCACTCCTTTTCTAACACAATCAGCCAGTAATCCTGTCCATGTGATCACCATACCGACCAAATTATACTAATCTTGCCGTCTACATTATAATAACAAATGTAAAATCGTCGTCGTTGGTCTGTAAGCGATAATGTAAACAAATTCAATAATACTGGTGTCCTGATTTCCGTAGGGGACGATCAAACGCATAGTACTGTTCCAGGTTGTATAGTAGTGGTGACGTATAGTTCTGACTCGTGTTGGTGATCACATAATTGTAGCTGGTGAGTATGTAGATTTTTTTTTTTTCCCAGTTTAACGTTGTGTATTAATCATCAGATATGATCGTGTTATAATCACCGGTGACCTATAATCCCAAGTTGAACCTTCCTGAGTACATAATTCCCGCTCGTGATAAGACTCAGGACCAGCTCAGTTTCGTCTTGGACCACACACACATAGCAATATTTATCTCACCAGGGCAATAGTCGCATATCAAGCCACTGTCTCCCTCACTCCACAATATTTCTCCCCCAAAACAGGAATATTATATTGATCGAGCGATACACCACCAGGCCTTTTGAGTTCTTCTCCCAGATTGTTGTTGGTGTTTTAGTTGTAATTGTTGTTGTTGTTGATAGTGATGGTTGAAGCTTCACGCCCCTACACTTAACCCAGCCTCGCTGCGCCCACACCTGTAACGGGGGGGAAAAAAATTGGTCATTACTCATTAAAGAATTAAAACATATATGAATCTTTGTCATTCATTATAAAAATAAAACATATATGAATCTTTGTCATTCATTATAAAATTAAAACATATATGAATCTTTATAATAAATATACATATATAAAAACATTACTACACACAGAGTGAAATTAGCTGGTTCTAGATCAACACAAATAAGCCCAGGTGGAGGTGTATTCTAGAGGTGGTGCCACAAGCTAGAGTGTAGGTTAAGTAGGTCCCAGTTCTAGCAGGCCCTTACCTAACCTACCCTAACCTAACCTTACCTACCCTAACCTAACCTAACCTACTCTAACCTACTCTAACCTACCCTAACCTAACCTTACCTAACCTAACCTAACCTAATCTAACCTACCTGCCAGAATGGGGCCCGTTTGACCGTTTATTAAAATTCCTTTATGTGAGACTAAAACATCAAGGTGCTAATATGATCAGACCACACACACACACACACACACACACACACACACACACACACACACACACACACACACAAAGGAATGAAACAACACGCCCATAAATTTATTGAAAATACGATGAAGCCTTTGTGTGTGTGTGTGTGTGTGTGTGTGTGTGTGTGTGTGTGTGTGTGTGAGATGAAACATGGTACACGTGCTTAAGTATATATGTATATACGTGACTGTCCCTGTGTTTGGGGTCGTATTTACATAAAGCTTCTGGGAACACCTTTTCACCAATAGCCTGGCGACCCTCATACAGACAGCCACTGTTCACCCCGTTAACAGTCGAGTAACAGATAACAACAGTGCTTTTATGTAACCCCGGTGTAATTACAGTCATAAATATTAGTGATATTCTTTTTTAATTAACTGGTAAACTCATTAATATGGAAATTCGCAATTACCTTTAAAAAAAATTCGTGTGATTATAAAGGCGAGTCTCCCGTCACACGTAATATATCATCGTCACACATGAGCCACTGTAACACACTTACCGTAACACAACCACACCGTCACACACCTACCCTAACACGACCACACCGTCACACACCTGCCCTAACACAACAACACCGTCAAACACCTACCGTAACACAACCACACCGTCACACACGTACCCTAACACGACCACACCGTCACACACCTGCCCTAACACAACAACACCGTCAAACACCTACCGTAACACGACCACACCGTCACACACGTACCGTAACACAACACACCGTCACACACCGTAACACGTCACACACCTACCGTAACACAACCACACCGTCACACACCTATCAACACAACCACACCGTCACACACCTACTGTAACACAACCGCACCCACACGTCACACACCTACCATAACACAAACCACACCGTACCGTAACACACCTACTGTCACAACCACCTCACACACAACCAACACAACACACGTCACACACCGTCACACAACCAACACACCACACCGTCACACCTACCATAACACAACCACACCCGTCCACACCTGCCATAACACAACCACACCGTCACACACAACACACCTACCGCACACAACCACACCGTCACACACCTACCATAACACAACCACACCGTCACACACCTACCGTAACACAACCAACCACGTCACACACCTACCGCAACACAACCACCGTCACACACCTACCGTAACACAACCACACCGTCACACACCTACTGTCACACAACCGTAACACAACCACACCGTCACACACCTACCATAACACACCACCGTCACACACCATCCACACAACCACACCGTCACACACCTACCGTAACACAACCACACCGTCACAAACCTGCCATAACACAACCACACCGTCACACCTGTAACACAACACACCGTCACACACAACAACACAACACAGTCACACGCCTACTGTAACACAACACCGTCACACGCCTACCGTAACACAGGGGTAAAAGACGAGGAGGGGAAGAAAAGACGAAAAAAAGAGGTCTGACTAGAGGGAGGAGGAGAGAGAGGGAGGGAAGAAGAGGGAGAAGTGAAGGAAAAAGAAGAAGGAGAAAGAGAGGAAGAAGAAGAAGAGGGAGAAGTGAAGGAAAAAGAAGGAGAAGGAGGAAGAGGGGAAGAAGAAGAGGGAGAGATCAGACGATGAAAGACAACTGGACAAACATTGGGCAAACTGGATGAAGCCTTTGAGGCAGTCTTTGGCACAGTCCCCTGTTATAGATAGTCCCAAGCTCACGTAGCCTATACAAGTACACTCGTTCGAACCCTGCACGCGGCACTGGTGTAGAGAGAGAGAGAGAGAGAGAGAGAGAGAGAGAGAGAGAGAGAGAGAGAGAGAGAGAGAGAGAGGTCTAATCTAATCATGATGGGTAACAAGGCCACTAGAGTCAGTAGCTTGGATATAAATACTGTACAGTACCGAGGTCTTGCCAGATGTTCCCCACCACCAGCCAGTCAGCCAGCCAGCCAGGGACAGTACTCTCTCTTTTACTATTTGGGGGGAGAAATTGAAAAGGATAGGAAAAGGAAGGAAGGGAGAGTGGGAAAAAGAGGGAAAGAAAGAAAGAAAGAAAGAAAGAAAGAAAGAAAGAAGTACCTCACAGAACACTAACACTGGCAGGTAAATAATAATAATTAACCTTTGAGATAACACCTGAGAGCCCACAACACCCATGACTGATACACTGATACACACACACCTCTTATGGTTATTGTGTTATCAGTTATCGTTATCAGTTCCTTCTCTCCTTATCACCTGTTCCTCCCCTCATTATCAACCTTATCAATGTTCATCTGTACAGGAGGATGCCATCACGTAAGGTAGGTGACGTCATACTATATAATAATGTAATGTATCGGGTCACTTGATGATTAGACACCCTAGCTTAATTCACCTAATGATTAACTAATATGACCTATCCTAACCTAGCCTAGCCTAACCTAACCTATCCTAACCTAGCCTAGCCTAACCTAACCTAGCCTAACCTAACCTAACCTAACCTAAACCTAACCTAGCCTAACCTAACCTAACCTAACCTAACCTAACCTAACCTAACCTAACCTAGCCTAACCTAACCTAGCCTAACCTAACCTAACCTAGCCTAACCTAACCTAACCTAACCTAACCTAACCTAACCTAACCTAACCTAACCTAACCTAACCTAACTGCATTTGTGTCACTTTATGTAATGAAAACAAAAATTATTTCCTACAACAGCTGTAAAAAAAATAAAATTAAATAAAATAGGCCAACTAGATCTATATTTTCCCCCCTGGAGTTAACAGTTGGTTTGATCAAAGAATACATTGACTTGTAAATATATGTAAATAAAGTTGTATTTACAGTTTATTTAGTTTAATTTACTGAGGGTCATTTAACACAGTTGTCTATTTTGCTGTTTATTTACTTACAGAATAAACATTTTGTATCTGCGACCCTCCACGACCCCCCCCGACCCCACCCCCAAAAAAGAATAAATAAATAAATAATCAAGAATAAATTTTAAAAATACAATAAAATATAGAAATCGGTAGAGAATAAAAAAAACTAATTTCATTTTTGTGTTGATGTTTGTCTTAAAAAAGATTTAAAAAATAATAAAGCGAACACTGACTGTCACTACACGCCCCACTGACCGACTTATCACCTTATACCTGGTGACCTGGGCTTCCTAATCACCCCTATCAACACACCTGCGCCTGATAACATACAGAGTCACTTATTTAAAACAATACAGAGATTTAAAAAAAAAATAATAATTCTATATTAAATCGTGGGAATTATTGTTTTAGTCGATTTTTTTAGGGGGAGGACATTGACGAATCACATATCTTTTTACCCACACGAATCACATATCTTTTTACCCACACAAATCACATATCTTTTTACCCACACGAATCACATATCTTTTTACCCACTAAGAAACATATCCTTCGTCTACGCTGCCTTCCAATCTCAACAAAGGTACACTACACACACACACACACACACACACACACACACACACACACACGTCACTCGCCTTCCGTAACACACATCCCCAGGTGAGTCGAGCTGTGTGTGTGTGTGTGTGTGTGTGTGTGTGTGTGTGTGTGTGTGTGTGTGTGTGTGTGTGTGTGTGTGTGTTTAACTCACCTGGGATTTGGGAGGGAAGGTTTTGTTATAGAGTGACGATGGTTCCTGCAGCGCCACCTGTTGCCTATACTTACAGTACATCACGAAGGACCACAAAAACAAAGTGAGAGAGAGAGAGAGAGAGAGAAAGAGAGACACTATCCACCCCTCACCCTCACCCCCCCTCACCCCCCAAAAAACGAAAATAAAACGCCACCACACCTGTCATTTTTCACCTTAATTCACCTTTACGGTCAATTAGTCGCCGCAAAGACATTTTTCATCACCTGTACGTCAGTTATTTATCGATACTGATCACACACACACACACACACACTCTATATATCTATCTATCTATCTATCTATCTATCTATCTATCTATCTATCTATCTGTCTGTGTCTGTCTTATTATAATGTGTTTGTATAATGTTAAAAGAAATATGTCCAAACGAAATATTGATATCTATTTGTCTGTCTGTTTACCCATCTATCTATCTATCCATCTATCCATCTATCCATATATCTATCTATCCATCTATCTATCTATCCATCTATCTATCTATCTACTAAATTACGCCCACCACTAACCTATACTTAGACAATGATGGATAAAGCCGTCCAATAAATTAATCAGTGCACAAGAGTAATGGCCGCCATCAATCCACAAATGAAGCCACCTGAATGCAGAACGATACGTCAGTCACCTAACCTGACCTAACCTGACCTGACCTGACCTAATCTAACTAAACCATAGCTATTTATAGAGTTAAATGTATCCTCTTCGTCTCGTCAGCCACCGTAACTAACCTCCCGTCAGCCACTGTAACGAGCCTTCCGTCAGCCCCTGTAACAAACCTCCCGTCAGCCCCTGTAACGAGCCTTCCGTCAGCCACTGTAACA